TCAGCGAGCAAACTTTTGGGCTCAACACATAATGATCGCCTTCTACTCCTAGTAACATAATATACTATTATCGTAGTGTATAATATTCTGATTTTTCAACAATCAATTAATAACTCGAATTTAAAGAAGAAAAACTTCCCTTAGACGTGGAAAAAGTATTGCATGCCGTAGAGAAACTATTGACCCAAAAATCACGGCTAATATATGAAAAATAATATATGTGCTTTCAAAGGAGGTATAAGTGAAAAAATACTTTTGGCATACTTTTTAGGGAAGTTGAAGAAAGTAAAGCCGTTAACATTATTATTCTAATACTCGATGATAAAGCCAAATGAAAATTGTGACATTTCAAATAATACTTCTGATGAGTCCGTTCCATTAAATAACGTTTCGTAATGTTTCATATACAGTAAACAAACTACGTTGCTTAAGAAATTACGGTTACAAACCTAAAAAACCGAAAGTCTTGGAACCAGATGATGTCATGAAATTGTTGAAAGAAGTTTCAGACGAATTTCTATAAACATTTTCTTCAAAAATTTTAGTAATTTAAGTCTTACATTAATTATAATTATGATTTCGTTTGAGGAGTACCGGATCAATAAATTATACAAGTTAGAAACATCTGATTTTGATGGTCGAACATCGGTCATAATCATCTCACTTACTATGGCCAAAACTAAGCACGATCAGCTGTTCTGTTTTACCGACAAAAAAAAACGAGTGGGTGTTTTAGATATTATTAGAAAATACGTTGATTTATGTCCAAATAATGTGTTTCACCAGAAGTTATTTATCAACTATCGAAAGAAAAACTGTTCCGTCCAATATGTAGAAATAAATAGCGTGTATAATATTTAATAATCATTATGCATTTCAGTTAACTTTTCCAAAAGCTGTTTTCAAATTTCAAAAGGAACATCATTCCTAATTTGCAGAATGAAAACAGTTTTACACGTGTTTCTTATTTGTCTGCTTATTTTCAGGGAGGACTTTTTTAGCTCGGCAAACATGGTTTCATAAAATTAAGTTTCTATTTTTTTTAAATACTCAAGTAGAAAAAAACATGTAGGTATACTACTTTTACAAAAATTGGTGCAGTCGCCGGTGTTTTTCAGTACTGTATATCGACATAATAGGCCAATCAATAGAGCACTAAATTAGTGATTTTGTGACAAAAATACTAGTAGCAAACGGACTGTGCCATTATAATTAATTTATTATACACATTTTTATGCAAAAAAAAAAGCATTTTTTTGGTTTTTTTTCTTATAAAACCTAAACAAAGCAATCTGAATGCTACTGATATTATTTATTATGTATCCACCACACAATAATACTAAGCTATACAATAACTAATAATATTCAAAATTGTATTCCTATACAGGGTGATTTCACTTTAAATACAGAAACTGCAGGAATCGATTAGTTGCCAAATAATAAATAGATGTTGTTCTATAAACTTTCTTCCCCGAGAAAGGGGTATTCGAGATACAGGGTGTTCAATTTTCCAAAAAAAAAATATTTTCTGTCATATCTTCATATTGCGCTGAACGATTTGAATTAAATTTACTACAGCGTATTCACTTAATTATACCTTTTATTGAACGTAATATTAACCTTGTGACTTGAACCAGTGGCGTACTACTGGAGGTGTTGTAAACTTTAACATCCCGTATCTCCAATACTGAGTCCCGCAGGAAAAAAGTTTTAGAGCAAACTCTACTTATTTTTTGGTCATGAATCTAGTCCTGCAGTTTCTGTATTTAAAATTAAATCACACCGTATATCCACTGCCCCTCATTTCCCGATCTTCTCCCACTACTTGACCGCGTACGCGCGCTCGGCCGTTTTTGAGCATGTTTGGAGAAATTTTTCAGCTATTTCGCATCATTTTATCGGAAAAATAGAATAAACGTTTTGTAGTATTACATTTCTACTTCTAAAATCCGGCTAAAAAATTAAAATCGGACCACCTCCAACACATCCAGAGATTTTGCAAAATAGCATCAAACATCAAAAAATTTAAATTGCAATTGTGCCAAAACTAATGGATCGATTCTCTTTATAGCATTCAGATTGCTTCGTTAGTTTAAGTTTTATAAACAAACAACCATATTAGCTTTATATTAGGTAATAACTGGTAATTCGCTGTTTCTTATAATCGTGCAAAAATTTTACGGATATAGATACAAAAACCGCAAAAACATATCGAAAAGGATTATCCTCCGAATGTCTGTATAAATTACAAATAAAGAATAAATACTGTCTGAATATTACATGATACTATCGGTTTTATAAGCTAATCCTGTCTATATACTGACGATACGTAATTCTTACATCTACATGTGTTTACTTTGTAGGTAACTATTTCAAGTCATTAAAAAAAAAATGATTCACTATATACTAAAAACCGCATGATCTTGCAATACAAAGGTTAAACATTTTCCGTGTTATCGTATGTGGCAAATACACAAAGCTCCGGCAAGATAAGAACTGAATCATTATTTCCCTTTACTCGAGTTTGTTACCATCTGACACTACGAGACTGCAATTGACGTCAATAGTACACTAATTTTTTCCCGCTAATACAAGCGACTTAAAATATGGAGGAAGTGAGTCTGTAACCTATCCAAGTTCCTGGAATACACATGATATATAACTATGGAGACTGTAAAAATAATTTAAAAAAAACATATAAACAAACAACTGCACATATTAAAATGTTATTAAAAAGATTTGAAAATCAACGTTGCATTTTTTCAATACACATTATGTAACTATTATGAACAAGTTCCCAAAACAATGAAGCAGACCTAAAATAGGTCAAGCTTAAGTTGGCACTGGCAGATTCTGGATTTTGAAAATTCCTCGTACGTTTTTGCAAACTTCTTCAACGTGCTTTGGCTGTATTTAGTAACAGAATATTTAACACCTAAAAATACCTGTAAATCTTTAACCAAGTCAAGTCGTTGAAGGATAAATAATTCAATTTATAATTATACGAGACTTGATTCATCGACAGACTAAAAGTCACTTCAGGGCGTTCAGAAGCAACAAGAGTTTATTAAATTTAAATTTCGTTGTTAATAGCGTCAAGTTCACTATTTATAGAAAATATTTTCACGTCAATAGTATAATATCAAGTAGGTAATAAGATGTGGTCAAATCAAATACAACATCATTAATGAAAAATGTAAACATGTTAGGTCCGAAGACGTACCCTGGGGAATTTTAGACAATTTCAGCAATCTTGTCTTCTGAAATTTTGACAAATTGAAACCTATCGAATTCATACGATGTCATAAGCTTCACCAAAGCAGAACATATCTAAAATTTAATTTAACTAATAACAATTCGTAATCAAGATGGTCGAACGCTTTTGATAAGTCCGCACAAATGACATCTACCCGACCTTCTTTGTCTATCATCTCAATGATGTACTGTACCATGCTGTACTGTACTATATATGTACTGTACTATATTATGCAGACCAAATTAGAAACCATTGATAGACGAAAGCCTGCTGTTCAGGCATAATATAGTTAAGGTCTACTGATAAAACTCCAATAAAACGGTTTAAAAAAATTAGCAAGTTGCATAATGTCGCAATGAATCAATAACTTGTGACATTTTTACAGTTATTTTTTTATAAATAGAACAAATCCTTGAAATTTTCCAACAATAGGTATGTGTAGATAATATTAAGTCAAATGTGAAGAATTTCTAAGAGGAATATAGCACAATCTTTGATCAAAAAGTCAGGCATATCATCAGGCTAACAGAAAAAAGTATATATGAGAATGCATTACTATTCATATCATTTGTTTGTTGCTTTAATTACAATTATTGGATGTTGTAAATCAGGAATCAGCTGGTTGCCTTTTTTAAAATTAACAGAAATCCAAAAATTATTTCGATCATATCTTACATTGTATCCATTCTCTATATTAGGGATTAACAAAAATCCACAATTTATTTGAATTATACTTTGTATAATCATCCATGTTTTACAGTGAATTATCAAGTAACCTATTTAGTTTATGTAAACGGATTTATTTTTTTCCAATAAAGCTCCTCATTTGAATTAATTCAAATACAAGTATCATTACTTAAACCTCGACTTAGTCTATGACTGAAAAAGAATCAACAAGTTGTACATTCACCTTTCCAGTTTGTAAAATATAGTTGATTAATGATTCATAGAACATTGACCCTTTTCTTTTCCATTAAATGTGCAGAAACTTAATTATGAATCATAAAAAGTATCGAACTTCATCTATAACATAAGAAATATAGAAGCTAACCAAAGGAAGTGACAGTTACTGTAGTTTACTTTGAGATTATAGGAAGTCATAGGAAATTACAAAACTGTGGCAAACGTGGAAAGGAAGAAGGAAATATTCATCAGATTGACCGGAAAGTACTTAGTAGAAGTATGGACACATTTTTTTTTTATTTGTGAAACCTTATAAAAAAATATTTACCTACTGTAAAATTAGAAGCTGAATGTGCCTGCCAACATTTTTTGGCCATTCCGTTTCAAATACCAAGCCAAATGACGCCTAAAAACTATAGAAAATAAACTATCTTGATAAATTAAAAATAGCTGTCCTACTAAAAACTACATCTAACTTTATTGTTTTAAATTGGTTTCCATTCAATGTGTATCACAACCTGACTAACTGAATCGGAAATCTGAGGAGTAAACAACGTTCCAAAAATTTGTAATCACAGATAATTTCTCAATATTACTATTTTGAAAAGCCAAATAGGTAATTACGAAACAGCAGAATCTACATTCTTGCAATTGAACAAATTAATATTTTCCTTTTTTAATTTGACTGCTTATGTTTAGTCAAATCAGATGTGCTTTAAAATAATGTTATGAAATCGTTTACACACACATATTTAAACTGTTTATAATAAACTATATACATAGGAAAGTCATTAAAATTAAATAATAACATTGTACATACACTTTATAGCAAACCACTTACCTATCAGTGAGCCTAAATTGGAATCTTTCAGGGACCCAGCACTGGCAACTATAGCGCAACTATTAAACCGCTTATTTTCAAAAAAGCCCCGTTTAGGAATGTATTCTTTCACCGGATGGAACATAATATCACTTCTGGTCAAAGTATTTAGTGAAACCGTCCTTAACTGACATAATACCTCTTTAGGCGATTTATTCATAAAATTTCCTCTTTCACCTTCATAGTGCACATTATACTGATTTTCAGTGCCCATTTTCAAAATATTACTCTCATCAGTGAACACTTTTCTTAGTTCTTTTATTAGGTCTTCCTTATACGTTGCTGTTTTTTTATCACAGTCATTTGCACTATCATTTTGCCAGCACTGGTACTTTTTGGTATCGATTGCAAACTCTTTGGGTTGTAGATTTGGAAACCTAGGTTTGCTGTTCTTGATAAGGATTGAGACGTTTTCTCTGTTTGCTGAATGCTTCGTCCTCAGTTTCGTTTCTGATAAATTATGAGATTTGTTATTGTTTGTATTGTCACTTGGGTAGTAACCTCTGTTGTAGAAGTAGATTTGTTGATCATAAGTTGAAGTCGTTGTTTCTGTCTGTCTCTCCATGTACATCCAATACTGAGACCATAATAGGTACATGTAGCCACACATGCCAAAGAACACTAAATTTATGAAGACCCATATTGAAACGACAAGGGCTCTCATTATTTCAACTATTCTGCAAAAAATAACGTATATCCACGATGAAATTTTGTTTCGTTTTGTTAATGACTCAAAATCTGACTTGTTAATGAATCAAAATTAAAACAAACTCCATATTTAGTGTTTTTTAATAAAAATTAGATTATCTACGCATTAATATTCTACAAAAGATACACAAGCAAACGTCAGAAAAATACATAAACAAACGTAAAAAAGAAAATGTAACAAAAAAAATTATGTTATTGTCGTTTAAGCTTTTACAACATAAAAGTAGTATTAAAACAAAAAAAAATGCGATGAGATCCATAGAATCATTTTAAACCCATTGTCCTATAAGTCGCATTTTTAGATGGCTATCCCAAGCCGCAAAAGTATTCTTTTTGTTTTTAAAGGATCAAACTGTTTTCTAATTCGCCCTATATAATTTATTTTAAATACGGCTAGAGTCTTCTTCTTCCTGATTTGGCATTCTGCCAATAAAACGAAGTTAGATGTGCATCCACCTATTGTACTCGTACTTTATTACAAAATCAATATAGGTAACAAAACAAAGATGAAAAATGATTATGCAACAAAAATTATCGAAAGCTAAACAGTAAGTACGCATTTTAGTTATTCTCAATTTATATAAGCAACATAATAGGGCAAGGTACTTACAAGAATTTAATGCTATAAATATTGAATTGAGGACATCATTTTCTAGGGTGAAATAAATTGGATTTTGTGAAACACTTTACCCCTGGAATATATACGACACTCTGAGCATGCGTGTTTAATGTAAAATACTAAAATATAAAATGAATTTTGCACCTAGCCCGGCAGGACAATAAGGATAATAAGGACAGGAAGCTGTGGGATAACAGGAAAATAAATGGCAACTCTAGCTGAGGAATTTCAGCGAAGTTGGTTGACTTCCGTGATTGGCTTAGGTTTATTTGCCACAGGAGTTTGGTTGTTAACATGGAATGAGGTTATATTATTATTATTATTATGTCATTGTTTATTAATAAATATTATTCTTTTAGGGCAGAGCTGTTCACCACGCATATTCATTAGATGAAACTTACAATAACGCTATTGTTTTAAACCCTTATGAAAAGTTACAGCCTGAATTAGATGGGAGGGTGATACATATCAGTGGCAATTTAATAATCGATGAACCCCTTACAGAGCCCGATTACGGGATATCCATTCAGGCAGTAAAATTAAAGAGACGAGTTCAGATGTTTCAATGGGTAGAGGAGAGAACGTAAGCCATTAAAAGATTTATATTATAAAATTAAAGTTGGATTTATTGCAGATAAACAATTTACAGGCCTAGGGATGACGATGAGTCTAGTGCGGGAAAATACAACTCTATTAATGACTACTATTATGTAACAGAATGGAGAGATAAATTGGTAGACAGCAGTAGTTTCTATATAAGGCATGGCCATGAAAATCCTAGGTGAGTGTCTTTTACCAGTGTTTATATTATTAAAATGATAAAGTGAATCTGCAAATATTTTAGGGAAATTCCATTAAAATCAGTTACATATATAGCCCCTTCAGTCAAGGTTGGGCACTTGCTGCTAGGGAATGAAATAAAACACAAATTTAACGATTTCGTAGAGGTCACGAGTGATGAGAGACCTGAACGGAGAGATGTTAAATTACATATGGGTATTTATTACCACTGCAATGACATCTGGAATCCAGAAGTGGGAGACATTCGAGTGCAATTCTCTTATGCTGGCGCCGCTGGAGAACCAGTAAGTACTAAGTACTCTTAAAATCCAATAATCACAAATATATATTTTTTAAGGTGACGATAATTGCAAAACAAGAAAATGGGGTTTTGGTACCGTATAAAACCTCAAAAAATCATAAAATAGCCTTGTTGAGGCATGGCAACTTAAATATCAATCAAATGTTCTCCGCCGAACATTACGATGCGAAAATAGAAACGTGGAAACTAAGAGGAGTGGGTGTTTTTGTTTTATATGCTTCGTCTGTGTGTTTAGCAAAACTTCTAAATATAATTGGTGAGTGAATATTATAAACGGCACATCAACAATTTTTGTAATTAAATATTAACTTTCAGTTCATCAAACACCGATTTTATCAAACGTTATTTCGGGCGAAGCAACAGCATTTGGAAATGTGATTTTGGCAATTTCGGTATCGTTAATTGTCGTAGCCACAGCTTGGATGTTCTACCGACCTATGTTGGGTATGGGGCTCCTCTTTGCTGCCGTCAGCCCATTTTTGTACTGCATGATGGGTGTTTACAATGCTGCACAAAATACTCATATAAATTAATAATGATCAGTGATATTAAATAGTATTATAAATTTTAAAGTATATTAATAAAGCTGTAGATAGTGTTTTTATTGAATTCTTGAAATTATCAGAAATTTCAACAAATAGAAGAAAATTATTCCCAATGTATTTTATTGATTATATTCATACTGGTATAATCGAAATTTAAAACCTGGTATAATTTAAAGGTGCATCTTAAAAAAGAGAGCCTAAACCATTACTGTGTTCTTTTTATTGCAAATAAAATCCTTATAAAACTAATAGTCTATTTTTTTTATAAATACTCTATAAAACTAAAGTCCATGGACTCAAAATCAAAAACGCAACAGTTGTTATTGGTTGATGTCGTTAAAAAGAACGAAGTGTTAAGTAAGGTTAGATTATTTAAGATTTGTTGTAAATGGAAAACGGCTATTATGTATCTATAATATGACCACAGAATATCCTGTAGTTAGGATATTCTGTGCTATGACCATAACCAACAAAGAAGCATTATTGACCTTGAGCCATAACCACAAAACATCATAACCTCAATAAACAAATTTTCCGAACCATATAACTTTTTCAATATGGGCAAAATTAATACTCATTTTTTAGTAACTATATATCTTTTATATATACTTTTTAATTCTAGTGTCGCTTCTACGTGCACAAGCCAAGATGAACAAAACTGCGAAGAAGAGAAAATCAATAAGTACTCCATGGGTAAAAATGAATATAAAATGTATTGTTTAGTAGCTAACGTGTATAACAATATTTCAGAGGCGAACACAAAGTATCAGAAATACTTACAGCTCATAAAAGAAGCCAAAGAATCATATAAACCGTGCAATGAAACTAAATGTAGATGTCACGCTCAAGTTATTGCCAATGATCTACAAGTTTTTAAAAAGAATGGGATATCAAAAAAGTTAATAGAAAATGTCAAATCAAAGTAAGTAAAGTGTTGTTAATTTTAATAATCATAGTTGATATTAGTACTGATCAGCAGTGCCTTGAAATAAAAAACAAAAGACTTGCTATTGTTAAGCAGATTTTCATTGTTATACCTAAATATGGAGACTACTTTATATTAAGAGTTGTTGTGTCTAGGTATGTGTTCTCTATAATAAAAATTAAGAAAGTAAGATTTAAATTCTGCAAAATGTCTAGAAATTCTAAATGACAATTGTATGTCCATTAAGTTTTTCTTTTTATTGTGATTATATGAATGTTATAACAAACGTAAGTCAACACGATTCATTTTCTAGGGGGACCAAATACCAAATAATAGTAAACAAATTATACCGTGACAAATCTTGTATGTTCCCTGCGAGATGTGCCGGTATCGAACATTTCATTTTTGACTTGTTACCAAAGTTACCCAATATGGAATTTATCGTCAATACGAGAGATTGGCCACAGATCCACAAGCAATATGGCATCTTTGGACCCATATTCTCGTTCAGTAAATCGCCAGATTACCATGATATAATGTATCCTGCTTGGTCGTTTTGGGAGGGTGGGCCAGCCATTAGCCTATATCCCAGGGGGATAGGTAATATTTTAAAATTCCATAAAAGTTTTGTATACATTTTTTGCACAACAGGTCGTTGGGATTCCCACAGGAAGAAATTAGGGAAGCTTGGAAATGAGACTTCGTGGAATGAAAAAATACCAAAAGCATTTTTTAGGGGATCTAGAACTAGTGCAGAAAGGGACCCCTTGGTACTTTTATCAAGAGAGAAACCAGAGTTAGTCAATGCACAGTATACAAAAAATCAGGCTTGGAAGTCGGATGCCGTAAGCACAGCATTTTTTTTATGAGTTTTTACACAGGCGCAGTTTCATTTTAGGATACTCTTCATGTTCCTCCTGCTAAAGAAGTTTCGTTCGAGGAACATTGTAAGTACAAGTACCTCTTTAACTTTAGAGGCGTAGCGGCCAGCTTCCGATTTAAGCACATCTTGCTGTGCAAATCCCTAGTTTTCCACGTGGGAAACGAGTGGCTCGAATTCTTCTACCCGGCCCTCAAACCTTGGATACACTATATTCCAGTCGAGGCAAATGCCAGCAAGCAAAAACTAGAGGAGCTTATCGAGTTTACAGTACATCACGACGACATTGCTCGGGAAATAGCCGAGAACGGATACAACCTGATTTGGAACAATCTGAGGATGAAAGATGTTTCTTGTTACTGGAGCAAGTTGCTTAAAAGGTATGCAAAGCTTTTAACTTATGAGCCAGTTCTAGACGCAACGCTTATTGAGATTAAAAAAAAGTATTAAAACGTCAATTCTGATTATTTTTTATTTTTTTTATAGTTATAGGGTCACTGCGCCAGTTTTCGAATATTTAGTATATTTTTTACTGTCTTAATTTCATTACAAATTTTTTCTTTAATGGTCTCAACTTGCTACTAATCTGATAAACTGAGTTATTTTAAAATGGCTAGATATGAAAATAATTTTATTTTTAAGATTTGAAAGATTTTTGAATGAAAAAATAAATGAAAACTCATTTTGTACCTGTTTTCAACTTCTGCTCCATTATGATATTCCCATTTTTGGCCACCCCTTACATTAGATATTTTTAATTGAAAATGGTCCTTCATGCATAAATTATTTGTTAAAAAAGGGCTTTTCGGAACATAGGAATAATTGCTATTTTCCTTTATTTCTTTGTAACTATCGTCATTAATTTGGTAAGAGTTTGTTTTTGGAAGGTCAAAAGAACATGTCAATAGATTAAGAAACAAATGTCTGCTAAATAAAGTAAAAACTATACAGGGTGTTTGGTAAATTGATGCATTCCTTGCAGGAGGTTATGGTACAAGTGATTTGTGATATATTTCCTTAGTCCGATCTACAGGCTGTTAAAGTTTTAATAAAAAAATGCAAATTTGTAAATATTGCGGAAACTGCTCAAAATGTTTTAATGAAATTTTACAGGCTTTGACAGTTGCAACAATACATGTTTTACGATAAAAATATTGTTTTCAGTTTCACCAGTGGCGTGCGCACATGCATGTATCTAGATATTGTTAAAGAAAAAAATGATACTCCACTGATTTTTCTTAAAATAAAAATTATTTTTGAATTCCTTGTTCAATTTGGATGGAAAAGAAAAGGTATCTCGAATGTTTTTCTTATGATGCACCGTTTTCGAGTAAAAAAAAAAATCGATTTATTGCATGGCGTAATTCGGTTTCAATAATTTCAAAAATAGCAGAAATTATGCACTTAACTGCTTCATACTCAAACACTCAAAGTGACAGCTATTATTAATTTTGTCAAACAATAACAGAAACGAGTGCACAACCAACTTGCTAATTTCTATTTAGATAGTGAATAGTGAATCTAAAAACTGATAAAAAATTTTTAGACTGATGCTAACTGCAGAGGAATAATAATTTTTTGTAATAAAATTAGTACAAAAAAAGCATAATTTCTGCAATTTTTTAAATTATTGAAACCGGATTATGCCATGCAATAAATCGATTTTAATTTTTGTTACTGGAAAAGGTGCGTCATAAGAAAAATACTCGAGATACCTTTTCTCTTCCAAATTAAACAAGGAACTGAAAAATAATTTTTATTTTAGAAAAATCAGTGGCATATCATTTTTTTCTTTAAAAATATCCTAAGATGTGCCTGTGCGCACGCCACTGGTGAAACTAAAAACAATATTTTTATCGTAAAACATGTATTGTTGTTAATTGTCAAAGCTTGTAGAATTTCATTAAAATATACTGAGCGATTTCTGCAATTTTTATAAATTTGCATTTTTTTTTATTAAAACTTTGTCATCTTGTAGATGAAACTAAAGAGAAACTAAAACGTTTCACAAATCACTTGTATCATAATCTCCTGCAAGGAATGTACCGACTTACCAAACACACTGTATATGATCTGGATGAAAAATATTTAATTTTTTGACCATTTGGTTAAAAATTATAGAAATGAAGGAATTGGAAAATAGTGGTGGAAAACCGGATCTAATAACTAAATCAATTATTTCAGAAACTACCTCGCGAGAAAAGCTCCGTCGCAATTTTGTACTACTTATGGATAAAAAAAAAAATTTTAAAGACTTAAAAGACATGGTTAATAATATCCTTGAATATTATTTCCCTTCCATTAAAAAAATGCCACAAAAACTCTTTATTTACAATAATATTACTCCTTAAGCTAAATCACTTAATTTAAAAAATATATTTTTCCTAAAAAAATCAAATGAAGTCAAAGTTCTTTCATACCAGAAACCTGGGTATGCAATATGTAGATATCTAACCCCACAGATAAAATTCCTAACTGCGGGAAATAACTACTTTAGGTACCACATGCCCCAACTAGCAGTAATCACACTTTTATATATATATATATATATATAAATTTTGGTGAAATGTTTTTTTCATGTGGTGAAAACTTGCAAAATGTGATTGAGATTGCTTCTGAAATAAGCAATTCATTTAAGCTTTCAAATAGTGAGTTAATATAAACAAAAAGATATTCAATCATAATTAAATAAAAAGAGATAGAAAGTTGAAGTTGGTTGCCCGATTCTCCATCAACTGAACGAAATTTAATCAGATATGTTTTTCAAGTACCTATTAATCGAACACTTGATTTAAAAATAAACTGTTATCAATGTAGTTTAAAAGTGCATTTCTCAATCAACTACTAATAACGCCAGACATTAACGATAAAAATCAAACCTATTTAATAATAATTGATTTTTAATTTTTGTTTTTTGAAAGGTTCACCTGAGATTTTCAACTGTTTTTATCACGTCAGTAGACTACTTGACTGTCACTGCAGGTGTTTGTACAACTAGATTACTTTAAATTAATAAAAAAATATAGATAGAACCGTTTCGAGGGAAATGATGATTGAAAACAGGGAAACCGGAAAAGAAATAATATACATGCTTTCTTATTTTTACTCGAGTTTTACAAAACTAGTTGAGAACTAGTATTTATCACATAGCTGGTGCAGTGACCCTACAATATTTTTCAGTTTTTTATTTTAATAATTTTCTAGTAACTATAAAATTAAAAGTAATTATAAAAAGTAGAATATTTTTTTAGTAAACTTTTAAAATTTTTAAAATACGCTAGAACCTCATTAATCAGACCTTCGATGGGACAGACCTTTATAAATGAAAAAGTTAGATAATACAGACTGTATTAAAAACACATTTTAAATATGAGCGCAGTCTGATAATGAGAAGTTACAAAACTATTAAAACTGTGCTTGTTGTTGAAAACCAGAGCAGATTAACATAATATAAAACAAGAACAAGTCTGGTCAATACAGTGAGTCGGACAATCGAGGGTCAATTAACCGAGATTCTATTGTATCAATAAAAAACTAAAGTTGTTGAAGAAAACAACATAATTTTTTCTTAGTGTAACATAATATCAGACATACACAGGATGTTCTGAAATTAGCCTGTATTGTTTTATTTGCACATTTTACAACTAAGATTGAGGTAAAAGTTTATATAAACTTCGGCAAAGAAATGTCTTTTAATGGTTATAATTTCTAAATTTTGGTCAAGGGTGTCAAGACTGAGGAAATTACAGATAGTGCTCTAAATTAGTTGTATGCAGATCAGATTCAATTGTTTAAATCAAAAATTAGAATTTTGGATAATTTTACAATGAAAAGGTACTATTTTTTTGTTACTTTATGACAATTCTGTTAATGTTAGCATTGCAGAAAAAATTAATAACCAATAGTAATGTTTTTACTAATAAAGCTTTTAACTAAAATCGTCAAATAAAAACTTTTATCCACGACTATTGTATAATGTACCCATTATACGTCTGTTTGCTCGACCTCATTAATACCCATTAATCACGGCAGTGATTAATGAGTCATTAATCACTACTGTCAGATGCTTCCTTGATTTAGCTATAATATTATATTGTTCTGCTACAATCAATCGGTTTTTAAAATTTTATCGTGTAAACCACTAAATATTTTCAATTCAGTGCTGTACATATAAAAAAAAAATAAAAAAGTGAAATTTCCTAGACCAGATTCGAACCCCGGACCCGCGGTTGGAACGGAAGTAGCATCTATACTGAGCCATAAGCGACTTCGTTTGTGCATGTCGTATATCTGTTTCTTAACATACCATGTTTTTCGAAACATTTCATAAATCTAAGTAGCTTTTAAATCAAAACAAATTTGACTCAAACCTGTCAACATTATTGTTTGTGTGGATAGATTTCTCAGTGTTTTGATATTTTGTGTTAAATTGCGTTAAAAAACGAACTAAAAACAAAAAAAACTTCAACAAAAATATTTAGTAGTCGTGGATAAAGTATAGTATTCTACTCCCGTATAATGGCTATTATCCACTCGGTGATTTAGGTCACTCGCCTGCGGCTCGTGGCCGTAAACTTCACCTCGTGGGTAATACCCATCATTATACGCTCGTTGAATAATATACTATTATTGCACAGGCTCCTGTAAAAGTCAATTTTATATATTGCAAATTATACAGGGTAATTTGCAAATGGTGACCAAAAATGAAACCTTGTATTCTTTGGTGAATTTTAAGAGGAATCTTTCCTATAAAGTTTTTATCTAGGACGCTTCGTTAAAAAGAAACAGCGTGTTAAACTTAAAAAAAAATTTTTTTTAGTTTTTTAAATAATTTAAAAACTAGTAAGCAAAATAATTCGAAATTGGGCACATATATTTATGTAAACATTATCCAAAATCTGAGGACTTTTTCTAAAAGTTACATGCTTCAGTGGCGGAGATACGTGGTATCGGTGGCATATTTTTCGGAAATAACCATGATATTTACTGATTCATCTTTCAGTTTTCTACAAATTACTACTCTCTTATGTTTTTCGAAGAAAGCCTGATGTTCGAGAAAAACTTAAAAAAATGAACTGAAAACACTTTACTTAAATGATATGACATGCACTAATCATTCGGTTATTTTTTCGAATACAGAAATTAATAAGATTAGTCATCATTTTATTTATTTATTTATTTACTCGAAAATCAGGCTTTTTTCGAAAAATTTAACGACGAATCTGAAAATATCATGGTTGTTACCATAAAGCAGTGGTGTATTATTTTATTTAGAAAAATCTCCGTCACTGGAGCTAGTAAAGTTTAGGAGCCCTTAGATTTAAAAATTAAAAATATTTTTTGAAGTTTAATACCCTGTATCTGTTCAACGAAGCGTCCTAGATCAAAACTTTATAGGAAAGACTATCCTTAAAATTCACCAAAGAATACGAGGTTTCACTTTTGGTCATCATTTGTGAATCACCCTGTATAAGTAAACACTTTTGACACGGTCTTAGATAAACTTAATTTAATTTATGTTATTACGTTGCCAACAATTTTTTTTTACTTGTACTCTTTTTACTGGTTTTCTTTACTTTTTTTTAAGTAACCGTTTTTAAAATATTTATATTTTTCCATGATTTTTTTTGTATTTTATGTCCAAATTTAATAAATTTTCTTACAAAATTTATAAACAATCGATATTATCTTGTTTTATAATTTACCATGAATTCTAATGGTTTATAATTTGGAACATTTTTTGGCATGTAAAGTGATTTTTAAGTTTATCGAAATGATACAAGACAAGACAACCTAGTGTAAAATTGTCTATAATTTTTCAATCGTGAACAAATTACTGCCTTTGATTAAGTTTAGACATTATTTTATCTCAAATCTTGAAATGTCTGCCTGCAAGAGACAACTTTCAGAGACTCCAATCCTTTCAGATATATTTT